ATGAACCTACTTTAAAACCTATCTCAATTAATTTCATTCCTCCAAGTTGTAGTTTTACTTCTATTTTCTTTTACTTCTATATTATGTTTCATTTGGCACATAAATGATTATCTTCTTTTTCTTTCTTTTTCATTTCACTCAAACATTTTCCAAAGATAAGTGCTAATTTCATTTCATATTTTAAAGTTATATGTTGACCATAAATTTACTCTTCTAGCGACTTAATATCACACTCATTTCTTAATTACTTTTCAATAGTCATGTTATCAACATCATTTTCATTTCTTTCACTTCCAATAATTATATCATTCTCAGAATAAACACTTTATCTTAAATACTTATTTCCGATAAATTCAATTAATTCGAGTCTTTTCCAATTATAGCAACATACCATAATCTTATTATTACCAACTTTGTTAATAACCAATTTTCTAATTGTATCTTTTCCTTTTAGTACATCTGTTTTATATCATTTATTTTTCTTTTTATCTTTGTAACTATTTTAATTACTGTAACAAGACTAAATTTGGTAATAACAACTTTAAATTACACATGAATAAATAAAAGTGAATATAAATTATATTAATTGTAAAGGTTATATAAATGTTTAAAGACAACAACATCAATATAACAATAAAGACACTGAATAATTTATTTGAATAAACACTTTCAATTAAATAAAAAGAAACAAAAATATAAAACATGAGAATCAGTAATAAAAATGGAAAAGTATTAACACCATTACCAATTCATTTCATTATAAATTTATAAAAGTATAATACAAAAAGAGAAAGAAATTACATTTAATTTAAATAAATGAATAATAAACAAATAAATAAACAAATAAAGAATAATATCTTATATTTCCTAAAAGATAAAATACTTTTCTTATAATTCAATTAAATAATCATTAGGTATGTTATACTCAATATAAAAAACATTTAATTTAGTCATACTATAATATAACTTGATATTAACTATTAAGTTAATGTGAAGTATAATTATTTCATATTTATAAATATATTTTATTTATGATATTTATTTTTAATAATAATATTTATTATCAATTATATTTTCAAAAACACTAAGCTTGTGGTTTATTTAATTTAGTTTATTTGATTAATACCTTTATTTATTGTTATTTCAATAATCTATTTATCTGAAGTTTTATTACCCTTTATATTTTTTGTTTTTTAGAAATAAAATATTTTACAATTTAGTATTTCTCTCATTCTTTTTAATTATAATTTTTCATAACTTTCATTGTTTATTTGGTAATAATTTTAGTCTCTTTCTATTACACTATAGTATTATGTACTGTGGATATTAAAAATTGTTAAAATATTAATGAATTGAAAATAGTTGAAATAATGAATAACATAAACCATAACATTAGTGTAATGACTTATGTGATAAAAGTTGTTATTATTTATTATACATTATTTCTATTCTCTCTGTTATAATTTACATTAATTGACTCATATCAACATCTTTTTTTCTTATAATATTTTTTATTTTCCTATTAGTTTTTTACTTTTTTTAACAATAATTCAAATTGAAATAATAAATGAATTAACATGAATTTTAGGAATTAATAATCTTTGAACATCCACTTTTTGTATACTTATCTAACATTATTGAATGTCTGATTTAATTTAGGTTATATTAAAATATTCAAAGTAAATGTTTGAAATTTTCTTTAATTTGAAAAATAGTAGTATTTACCCAAGTTAATCCTTCCTTAAAATTATATTTCAAATTTACTTCTTTTTTTATATTTCTCATTTCAATTTAAAAACAAAAAGACAAATAACTAAGTGTTTAAAATTGTTTATTTCTCTAATCAATGGTTTTTATCATTTTTATAAGAGAAAAAGAAATATTTTTTTTTTGTTTTTTTTATTTAATGCTATATTTAACAACAAGATTTATTTTTAAATAACACGGTAAAATTGAAATATTTAAAAAAATTTATAGAATATAAAATACTAAATTATACTATAAGCATAACAACCACGTCATTGATGTTTTTATAATAAAAAACATCATTGTAGGGTATAAAAAGGAACTAATTATTAAGTTACTAATCAAATGCAAATCTTTGTTAAAACTCTTACTGGAAAGACTATCACATTAGAAGTCGAACCAAATGACTCTATTGATGCTATTAAAGCTAAGATTCAAGAAAAAGAAGGAATTCCACCAGATCAACAAAGACTTATTTTTGCAGGAAAACAATTAGAAGAAGGAAAGACTCTTTCAGATTATAACATTCAAAAAGAATCAACACTTCATTTAGTCTTAAGATTAAGAGGAGGATATTAAAATAATTAAAATATTCTTTTTATTTTTGTTTGAATTAAACATAAACTACAATTAAAATTAAATATGATATTTCAATTATTTTATTTTAATAAATTTTTTATATGTTTTATATAACAAATTATTAAAATATTTTAAAAGATGAAATTTCTTAATTTCATGTGATTGAAATAAATACATTACATTCACTTAATTAGTCACTTCTTTATTATGCATATTATCAAATTATTGATATATTTATTTATTGAATATTTTTCATTACAAGTTTTTTATTTTTCACTTTCCATTTCTATTTGAATAACAATTTTTAATAAAAAATGTTATTACTATTTTTAGAAATCTCTTAATTATTCTCTTGAAATTTCACAAAAAGGGAAAAAATGTTAAAAATGTTAGTTTTTAATAGTTTAATTTATTGAAATGACATTTCTTTTCAATACTGTAAGAAAAAAGATTTAATTAAAATCAAAGAATCTACTATTGAAATTTCTGTTTTAAATTTCTTTTTCAATGCAATATTTTCAATACAATATTTCGGTGGAAAAGTTGTAGACTATTTAAAGACAACTGAAAGTGATTCATTCATTAAATAATGTTTATTCTTCTTAGTCTTGTTGCAATATCCTTTGCTCAAAATAAATGTTCAACAGCTATTTCTATTACTCCACATTTTGATGTATATGATTCAGGAACATTTACATTAACAGATAATAATCCATCTACATGGAATTGTTATTCATCTGGTAATGTTAATCAAAATGCTTATGTCTTTAAATTTACTAGTGATTCTGATGCATCATATATTGCAAGTACTTGGTATCCAGAGACAGTTATTGCACCAAGAATTATAGTTGGAACAAAATGTGAAAATGATGTTACTACAGAATGTATTGGAGCAGAAGATTTTCTCAAAATGTATGTGAAGGACATAGATCAAAAGTT